TCGAATCGTTTGCATACTTCGTCGATGGTGAAAACACCCGAACTTTTTGTAACAAAGACTATTTATTATTATTAATAATTATAATTATTATTGAATTGCGACTTTCGACACGCTCCTGGAGGTGTAATAGTTAATGTCTCTGAGTTACCACTTTGTCGTATAATCTAGATAATTGTTGGATTATTTCCAAAACGTTAAGTCTGAGTATGTTGCCTTTTACTGGTACCAAACGGTGGCATTACTGAACATTTTAAGACTGCTTCGCTATCAACACTGCCAGCAGACTTCGCAACAACTACCCCCTCCCCATTCCCATCCCCACCCTTTCATCCCTTACTCCCCAAAAACCCCAGGTTCAGTACAGGTATACATGTACTGAGTGAAATAATCTGATAAACTATTTGAACCGAAAATGTCCCTCATTCTAAACAAAAGAACATTAAAAAAATTGATTCACTTATTTTTGTAATTGTTTTTTTTTACGTACGACTTCAAAACAGTTGCTTGCAATATTCATTTGTTTAAGCATCTTTTAACAATAGAACAACAAACGGTTGTTTCTTTTTTGTTTTATTTAGACATTAAAAAAAATCTTATACTTGAAAATTAATTGAAACTAATTCGGTTCATATAGTTTTCTCAGGTTTTTGAGGATTATTATCACGAGTTGAAGTTGTTGCGAAAATTAGTGTTTGAAGTACGTTTTACGATAAAAAAAATACTAATTAATTAATAAAACTGCCAGAACGAATGTCTTTTATAATATTATATGTATATCGTTTATACGTGCGCGATTTTTTAATGGTATTTTACTTTCTAGTCCAAAAAAAGGAAACGAAAAACATTTTCATGAAATCGTAAAAAAACCATCGTCATCCAAAAATGTAAATTGTACATTTGCAGAGAGTTCAATAATAGTGTGTTACCCATTATCCCACCATTAGAATAAAAATCATTTATACTATTAAATAGTAAACGAAAAATAACGATAACATTGCCCTCTTTCGTATTATCTACGCTTTTTATCAGACAGTCATTAAATGTACAGTGCCGTACTTACAAAAAAAAAATCATTTCCATCTAAATTAAAAAGTTATAAGGCTGAAATGTACAAGTATCACTTAATGTCCTACATAAAATCAATTATTTCATTAATTCATTTTTTTCTGTAAGTCAATTAAATTGTCTTTTGATTGAGAGTTACTCTAGAAACTGCCATTAAAATACCTCATTATATATTTAAAATTCGATCGTTTTTACCTTATCATTGTCCAAAGTAAATTCCAATAACAACTACGTACCTAATCAAGAGATAAAGCATTTTACGTAACGACTTTTCGAATATAAACTAAGGGATAAATGTTTGATGATATGAAAGTCATTGGAATCATTTTAAACTATAAGAAGTATCCATCCAACTGTTTAATTAGTTTTAATTATACTTATGAACAAAATTGGTACTTATTACTGCCAAAGAGATAAACTGATTCGTTACTCGTAGATTATATTTCATTTTCAAATGCACAAACAGAAATGAAAAGCAAAAAAGTTTGAAGTAGCTACTTCATGAATGAAAATATTCTCAATTTTTTTGGGAATTTATTGATGGCTAATTAGTTCTTTTAGAAAACTGTCACATAAGGTGGTGATACTTTGCTGAAATTTTTGAATAATAATCGTATTTGTGTCTAACATGGGAAGTTCTGAAAGAAATTTGCATTTAGAAAGGTAATGAATAATAATGAGATTGACTTGTTCTTTTTTGAAAGAGGAAAAGGAAAATAATTTTAGGGAAAAACTAATGGTTACCATTCTGCGTCACTTTTCGAATACATTCATTCCAAATGTGTATTTGTTTTTCATACTTTAGTATAATTAATGAAAAGTTCAGTACTGCCATTCGTTCTTTTTTATAACAATCTATACAGAGTAGATTAGTAAATAGAGTTACATTTTTTTTATTTCTACGAATTTGTTAATCATATTACGTGGTAAATGTGAAAGTGATACTGCTACTACTTCAACCTGAATATAAATAAACACAACACATCCACACAAAACACAAAAAAAAAACGTGTCATTTTGGTGTTCTTTCGCAATGGCAGCAGCAGCCAGTATACAACTGAAGTTACCAGTGCTACCAAGAGTTGTACCTTCTTGTACAATGTAGTTGTTCCTTTTTTTTAATTTCTTCTTTTGTTTTCATTATTGAAAAATCATTACAACAGATTATTTGGCAAAAGTGTTTTTTAAGACTAATTTTCCTGTATATAAATTTGCCGTTTAGCTAAAGTATGTAATAATTTTTGTAATTATGTTAATATGTAAATATACACCCATGAAAATTTAGAGCTGTCTCAGTTGCTTGGTTCGACAAGCACAAGGGGAAACTTTGCAACATAAAAATAATAGACTCCTATGTTGAGATCAGGTAAATGCCGACAGGTTTTGCTAAATTCTGAAATATATCTACAACGTTCTACAGTCAACATTTTTAATCCAATTTTCCTTCAGAAGCACTGACTTGGAAAGGAGCCCCAGTTGCCTTGTAGAGTACCTACTGTCAATTAAAACAACTAAGACTACTTCGGGTATACAATACAAATAATAAGTCTGCTGTATGCAAGACAAATCGATTAAAATAACAAATGTAGGTACAGTAATTAAATTTTTAAGGGGGCCCACTAACCTCTCTCTTCGAAGTGACAATCCATGAAAATATTCACAAAACACAAAAATATAACATGAAAGCACCTCCTGTTTTCTATTTTAAACTAATTAAACAAAGAATAGNAGTCTCCTAGGAATATGTAGTTGGTATCTGGCACTTGGCCCCCTTGACGAAATAACTCTTCTAGGTCATAAAACTAAAATCAATTTAATTAGAAGCTATTAGAACTCACTGTTAAGAGGTGTACCTGCCCATGAATATCACCACAAACGGTAACAGGAGTGGAGACAGGTTGCACATTAGATTCTTCTAGTAATAATTCAGCAACGATATCGCACAGCTTTTTTAGGTCGTTTTCGGGAAGATATTTGCAATCCCTTGCTATTTCTATCCATTCGTCTAGTTCAGACATTTGTTTAAAAAGCATAAAACTAATGTAAATAGTATAAATAATAGGTTAGAAACAAGAATATCTATGAATCAAGCAGCAATGTCAAACGAAGTCTGTACTTGACATGCGCGATGCATGGCGGCCATCATGAAAATTATTTGAATTCAAATAAGCGCGAAAAAGAACGCGCGAAAAAGGGCGCACTTAAGAAAAACGCGCACAATAGATAATTTTAAGAATTTGACCAAAACAAGGTAAAAATGAGAATAACTGTTACGTAAATAGCACGGAGTACCTAACAGAATAAGTAAACTATAGTTTTAAATACATTTACACATCGAATTGCTAATAATATTCTCATTTTTTATTTAAATTGCAAAGTTTATTTACTTTATTGTATTTACACCTCTAAAATTTGTTGTAATGAACGTTATGTATTAAAAATAGAACTTCAAATTACATTTCGCGTTAATTATATCTTTAAAATTGAAAATAAAATTGTCTACTCAACTTAAAACGCGCATTTATTAAGCCATTCGAAAAACACTTGTATGAAAAAAATAGTTAGCTATTAAAGCTATTATTTTAATTGAACAATTTGTTTATAAACAATTCTAAATGCGATACACTACGTCAGTAACAAGATCTAATAATTGATTATGTAATTATTGACATACTAGCCTATTTTTGCGTAATTTCTTGTGTGTTTAAGTTGTTATAATTTTATTTTGATTAAAACGTTAGGTATGTGTAATAAAAGGTCTCTGCTGAATATCGGTTCAAATGAAAAGATGATAACCCTTACGAATTGATATCGATTTTATACCTGATTGGTCCAATAAAGATCTGACTTTATTTAGTTCCACAAAAATACCTATTTATATTTATAATTAGCATCAGTGATACTGTCGTAAATGTTTTTTTTCTATTTAGTGATCTATTTAGCATTTGGGTCATTTCAGGTAAATTTGAACACGAAACGCAAATAAGTTTTTTCAGGGAATTCCCACATACCATTCGGTCTCATCGTCGGGTCATATTTCTGGGAATCCTACACCTACACGCCAAATATTTACGGTTCCTTTTAATTTTGCAGCTAATCGTAAGTTAACGTCACTTTTATTGTATAGGTCTGTCACAGAGATTGTTTATTCTGATCTTTATTTCGTACAAAATTATGTGTGTATGTTCTTTTGGCAGCATCTTTGAATACAATAGAAAACAATTTTTTATTATTTGTGTTGTATTTTTTATGTAGTGAACTGTATTTCTTTTGTAATATTATTGTTAATGTTGTTTTGGCACACATGTAATAGATGTGAGCAATGTACAGGTCGGCGGGATTACTTATCGGCATTTCGCAGAATTAATCGGGTTATTGTTTAGACTCTCTGCAGANATCAGACAGTCATTAAATGTACAGTGCCGTACTTACAAAAAAAAAATCATTTCCATCTAAATTAAAAAGTTATAAGGCTGAAATGTACAAGTATCACTTAATGTCCTACATAAAATCAATTATTTCATTAATTCATTTTTTTCTGTAAGTCAATTAAATTGTCTTTTGATTGAGAGTTACTCTAGAAACTGCCATTAAAATACCTCATTATATATTTAAAATTCGATCGTTTTTACCTTATCATTGTCCAAAGTAAATTCCAATAACAACTACGTACCTAATCAAGAGATAAAGCATTTTACGTAACGACTTTTCGAATATAAACTAAGGGATAAATGTTTGATGATATGAAAGTCATTGGAATCATTTTAAACTATAAGAAGTATCCATCCAACTGTTTAATTAGTTTTAATTATACTTATGAACAAAATTGGTACTTATTACTGCCAAAGAGATAAACTGATTCGTTACTCGTAGATTATATTTCATTTTCAAATGCACAAACAGAAATGAAAAGCAAAAAAGTTTGAAGTAGCTACTTCATGAATGAAAATATTCTCAATTTTTTTGGGAATTTATTGATGGCTAATTAGTTCTTTTAGAAAACTGTCACATAAGGTGGTGATACTTTGCTGAAATTTTTGAATAATAATCGTATTTGTGTCTAACATGGGAAGTTCTGAAAGAAATTTGCATTTAGAAAGGTAATGAATAATAATGAGATTGACTTGTTCTTTTTTGAAAGAGGAAAAGGAAAATAATTTTAGGGAAAAACTAATGGTTACCATTCTGCGTCACTTTTCGAATACATTCATTCCAAATGTGTATTTGTTTTTCATACTTTAGTATAATTAATGAAAAGTTCAGTACTGCCATTCGTTCTTTTTTATAACAATCTATACAGAGTAGATTAGTAAATAGAGTTACATTTTTTTTATTTCTACGAATTTGTTAATCATATTACGTGGTAAATGTGAAAGTGATACTGCTACTACTTCAACCTGAATATAAATAAACACAACACATCCACACAAAACACAAAAAAAAAACGTGTCATTTTGGTGTTCTTTCGCAATGGCAGCAGCAGCCAGTATACAACTGAAGTTACCAGTGCTACCAAGAGTTGTACCTTCTTGTACAATGTAGTTGTTCCTTTTTTTTAATTTCTTCTTTTGTTTTCATTATTGAAAAATCATTACAACAGATTATTTGGCAAAAGTGTTTTTTAAGACTAATTTTCCTGTATATAAATTTGCCGTTTAGCTAAAGTATGTAATAATTTTTGTAATTATGTTAATATGTAAATATACACCCATGAAAATTTAGAGCTGTCTCAGTTGCTTGGTTCGACAAGCACAAGGGGAAACTTTGCAACATAAAAATAATAGACTCCTATGTTGAGATCAGGTAAATGCCGACAGGTTTTGCTAAATTCTGAAATATATCTACAACGTTCTACAGTCAACATTTTTAATCCAATTTTCCTTCAGAAGCACTGACTTGGAAAGGAGCCCCAGTTGCCTTGTAGAGTACCTACTGTCAATTAAAACAACTAAGACTACTTCGGGTATACAATACAAATAATAAGTCTGCTGTATGCAAGACAAATCGATTAAAATAACAAATGTAGGTACAGTAATTAAATTTTTAAGGGGGCCCACTAACCTCTCTCTTCGAAGTGACAATCCATGAAAATATTCACAAAACACAAAAATATAACATGAAAGCACCTCCTGTTTTCTATTTTAAACTAATTAAACAAAGAATAGACTAATTAAACAAAGGACTGTAGTA